GAGATTAACAGTGAGTTAGAGACCAAAAAAAAATTACAATGAGACAATGACTTTTTGGATTTATTATTTAACAGATGAGTAATATATCCAGAATCTTTGATTCTGGTCTCGGGTCTGTGGTGTTTTTAGATCTCTGTCAATGCAATGATAGGTACAGTACAATTGATCTCCATGACCCTGGGTCTGCCAGAAACTTGTTGGTCTTCCAATGCAAACAGCTATAGATGCAGATTGACACATTCCAAGGTTCAGGACTGTGTGCTAAGGAACCCAAGGGGGCTTGGAGTGGCCATTGCAAATGCTCAATGGGAGAAAGATCACTGTCTAAGGCCCTCTCACCATAACACACCCAGAAACTAGAAATTGTGAAAAGTCCCTCACTGTATGCACCACAGTATGTCTGATCTGAAGTGTAAATTTGTATTGTGAATATGACTCATCATGGCAAATGTAGTGAATCACCTTATGCAGTGTATCAAAATAAACTAAACCATATTACAACTTACGCAATGTTAATTGTGAATTATGTGATTTCCTTCAATTTTATGAATAAAGTATTTTTTGGGAAACAAAATCTTCTGAATTTAAGAGTGGCATATTCTGGTCCACATTTCAAAATCTAATTACAATTTATTGACCCCTTGCTAATGCATTGCCATCTGGTGCAGGCTAAGCTGTGAGTTTTCCACAAAGGAATAAACTGATTTAAAATAATCATTACTCATGATGATGATTGTCAAAAGGAGCTGGATGCATACTACACCCATAAATGTCTAGTAACACTGAGGAGCCAACCTCTTCCAAACAGGGAAGAAATTTGGCAGAGAAAATGAACAGGAGAAAAAAAAAGATTGATATTAACTTTCTCTGAATATTTAATGTGTGTTTGAACTTGGTGCCGAGGAGGAGAAACATAATAGACTGGCTGACAATTTAGTGTGACTGGGAGACAGACAACAGCAACATTTAACTGTCTGTCCAGCCACACCTAACTTCATCCTGAAACTAATGCAGAAAACTTGTGGCAAGTTGATTTGAATTAATATGAATTACAGCATGGTTATACCACAAAAACAGACCAGTCGGTCCTTCATATCCATGTCATCTCTCCATATGGTACATTCACTTGGCACCATTCACTTGCTTTTTTTTAATCATAATGCTAATATAAAGTTCTCAGGGAATTCTAAGGCTGGAGGAAGTAATGTCATTAGAGAGGAGGGAAGGTAGCCATGGAGGGATTTGAACTCAAGGATAGAAATAAAAGGCAACATCAGGGAATTCTTGAGCTTCATAATTTTTAGGAGAGCACGGAGGTAATGCCACTCGACTAGTAATGCAGAGACCCAGGTCAATGTCCTGGGATATGGGTTTGAATCATGGCAGACATTATCATAAAAATTTATCCAGTTCATTAATGTCCTTTAGGGAAGTAAATCTGCCACATTTGCCTGGTCTGGCCTACATGTGACTCCAGACTCTACAACAATGTGGTTGACTCTTAACTGCCCTCTGAAACTGTTCAGCAATCCACACAGTTCAAGGGCAATTGGAATGGGCAACAAAGCTGGGCTTGTCAGAGATGTCCATATCTCATGCAGGAATTAAAAAAAAATACTCTCCATCAATTGTGACCATGCCTGTAGCTGCTAAGGCGTTATGCTTTGGAATCTTATTACCAACCTCTCTAACTCTCTTTCCGCTTTTAGAATTCTCCTTTGAGCTACCATTGAGGACATGATCAGCTCTAACACCTCCTCAGCATTATACTTGACTTGATAATGCCTATGCAAAGCATTTTGGGATGCTTTACTATGCTGAAGACACTATACAAATATAAATAAACATTGATGCATCCTGAGAGAACATGCCAAGAATGGATTTTTAGTGAATGCACTTTAGACAACTTTAAGCAGCAAATATTAATGAACCATTTCATAATATCTTATGACATTTCATTTTCCACAATATTTTAGTTCTTGGATCCCAAACCCTAGGATAAGTTCAAAAAACAAGTTTAAAATAAAACAGTGTCCAAACACAGCAATATGAAAATAAATTGTACAGCTTATAAAGTTTCCGGTAGAATTTTGTTGGGGAGGTGCATTGCTATGGTAACACCCTGGCTTGATTTGTCTTCTCTATTGATGCCTCACCAGTCAAAAAGGTCACCAGCTGTCAGTGAACAGACCTAGAACATTGTGACTTGCTTGGAGTATCCACCAGCCTCAGTGGATTTTGAACAAATCATTGAACGCATAATAAAACCCAATGACCAACTGGAAATACACTTGCAATCTGGATAGGAAAAAGGGAAAATAAATTGTAGATTTATTCTTCAATGGGATGTGGGCATCTCTAGTCAGGCCAGTAATTGTTATCCATCCCTAAACACCCTTGAACTGAATGGCTTGCAAGATCAGTTCAGAGTCATCCACATTGCTGTGGGTCTGCAGTCACATGTAGGGCAGACCAGGTGAGGATGGCAGATTTCCTTCATTAAATTATGTTAGTAAACTGGATGTGTATTTTTTTTAAAACAACAATCAATGATAACTTCATGGTACCATTACTGAGATTACCAATCAATTCCAGATTTTGTTATTTGAATTTAAATTCCATCAGCAGATACATGGGAACACTACCATCTGCAAGTTCCCCTCCAAGTTGCTCACCATTCTGACTTGGAAATATATTGCCATTCCTTCAGTGTCACTAAGGGCTTTGTTGGTCTACAACGGTTCAAGAAGACAGATCACCATCACCTTCTCAAGGGCAAATAGGGATGTACAAAAATGCTGGCCCTGTCAGTGCTGCCCATGTCCCACAAGTAAATAAATTGAAAAAGATAGCTGCCTTAGTGGGATTTGAAGCCATATCCTGATAGCACTAATATGGGTCTATGGAATGCAAGTCCAGTGACATTACTACTAAACCAACATTTCCACAAAAAGCTACAGCAAATGGAAACCTGATTTATACTTGGATTTTTTGTGCCATAACCAAAAATGAAAGCATCAAGACTGGTATGTGCAATTAAAGAGGGAAATAGACTAGGTATTCACAATTTTTCTAATATTATACTAGTGTCTTCTTCACTTACTTAGTTTGTAACACAGAACCACAAATTTAAGAATTCCTTGCCTTGTTTACAGATCCTGTCTTTGTTAAACAACATTCACAATGCTAACAGAAAAATACCACAATATAAGGTAAAATGATTGATCTGTGGATTAACTCAAAAAGATTCCTTCCTAAATATTAAATTTTCAGTTATTACAACTTGAACTGTTATAATTTGGATAGTGTAGCAATTGGTTTGTAAGTATAGTGGCTCAGTGGCTCGCACTGGTGCCTCACAGAACCAGGGACCTGGGTTCGAATCCAGCCTCGGGTGACTGTTTACACATTCTCCCCGTGCCTGTGTGGGTTTCCTCCCACAGTCCAAAGATGAGCAGGTTAGGTAGATCGGCTGTGCTAAATTGCCCACAGCGTCTAGGGTGGGAAATATAAGCAAAGGGTAGGGGGTGTGTCTGAGCGGGATGTTCTTCAGAGGGTCAGTGTGAAATTGATTGGCTAAATAGCCTGCTTCCACACTGCAGGGATTCTATGAATTGCTGATGTATCTAATTAGTGTAACTTTGTTGAAGATAATCATATTTAATGGAGCAACATAAACTTAGGCTAACTGGCTGATCAGATGTAGCCTTGAGAATGGCAGATATAGTTTTGAACATGCTGTCAGGATAAAAGTATCCATGGTTAATCTCATATTGCATGTGCTACTCTCATGATTTGTTTCAAAAATAGCATCTTGCATATGGAAAAATACTAAAAGCTTTAAACAGCCTCTGATCAATAATAAACATTTGTAAATATTATATCATGTTTGCATTCATGTTGCCCACATTTATAATAACATTTTGACTTACACCATAAACAAGTGCTAGGAACAAAGGTACCTTTCACAACTTCTGGATACAGCAAGAATGGGAGTGTAAAGACGAAAGTGAAAACAATATTGTTTAATTAAACATGGTTTTTATTTTTGTATGATTTGGATGCTATTAGTTGGGCCCAAGTTTTAAAGAAGTGAAAGATGTGTTCAATTTTTTTGTTTAATAACACTGGGACGAATCAGTGTCTCCTCCAGGATTCAAATAAAATGCAAAGGTGCTACCTATCTTCCTCGTTTCTAAATTGTACTTAGGATCAATTAACACAATTGATCAAAGAAGCAAAACATAATAAACCAATGTCATAAATACAAGGAAACTCCTACCCTCCTCCTCGGTTTTACTTTCGCGTAGCTTTGACCGGAAAAGGGGCTCTGCTTGATACTGATTCTTTGGTCGCATGGGTGTTTTTCCTCCTCTTCACTGTTAATTAGAGTGACATCTCCATTCACAGAACGCAAGTATCTCCTTATTAAAGGAGCTCAAGCAATAAACTGAAAAATAAAAATCATAATTTTGATTCGTGTCTATAACTCTTAGATAATCCATTATGATGACTACTCCTGAAATGGAAGTATTCCTAGTCATAATTGGTCTTTTTTTAATATTAAAACTGGAAGGAACAATGCATTCCACGTTTAAATTTCAACAAACTTTGCAAATAATGATAATGTGCCTTTTCTTTCTGCAAGGTAGCCAGCAACTACACTCTAACATCCAAGTGTCTCTGGGTTTTGTTCCTGTCAATCTGGGCTCGGTTGCCACGAGCAATCGCCTCAGCGGTAACCAAGGAACAGATCCATCCTTTACCCAGAAGAAGGGAGGAAGGATCGTAATTGAAAGGACGGTTCCACAGAATTTCACAGGTCCACAGCTGGAACACATATTCTAGTAGTTTATATTTCAAATTTAATGTTTGGCAGAATTGCAGGCGATGGTTGCGCCTTTACTGCCGCGTTGAGGGAGCCGCGGGAAGATCAACCTCCCCTATTTGCAAATAGTGGTTCAGACAGATCACACATCCGGCAGAGTCAACGCAGCACCAACGGTCGGAGCGCGAGGTGATGGTCGACGAGTGTCCGGGGAGGGAGGTGATGGTCAGTGAGTGTCCGGGAAGCGGATGATGGTCAGTGAGTGTCCGGGGAGGGAGGTGATGGTCAGTGAGTGTCCGGGGAGGGAGGTGATGGTCGGCGAGTGT